AATCTTCTGCCTCTCTCAGCAGGACTTTACTGGACTCTTCCACACTCAATCACTGGCACGTCAAAGAGGAACTATGTTTAGACTACATCATCTTTCTCTTTTCCACTTTACATTAAGTATAGCAAATAACTGAGTAATTACACATTAACAATATAAAATGGCCCCCGATGGGCGCACTGGGATTCTTGATTGTATGCATATCAACAGGTTAAAGTCTGAGACACAAACAACATTACAGACACAACTATATCTGAGACTGATATATGTCATATTTTTGGGCTTTTTGTGAAAACTCTTTTGCATGTTACAATATGTTCCATACATGTAAACTATAGCAGATATGATGTTACAAGACAACTGTTCATCATTTATGGCAAATTGCAGAAGGCCTCATTGTGTCAAATCATGCTTGAACTCACAGATTCAAGATAATGATAATAATAATAATGATAATAATAATAATACTTATTATTATTATTATTATTATTATTATTATTATGCTTTATTCCAGTACTACTGCCAGAGGACTAATGCATTTGTAATGTTTTACCTTTAAGAGTCAGTTTGATGAAGAAGTGTCCCTTCTTTATAACATCTGTAATCTCCTCCATCCTCTTCAGTCAGGTGTGATATGAGTAGAGAGAGATTTCCTGGAGAGTGACCATTAACCAGCTGAACTCTGTTTCTGTACTGACCACTCTTACTCAGTATATTTTCCCATGTGTCTCTGTTTGTGTTGTATCGTTCCCAGGTGAATCTCTCAGGTTTGGTATGTAGGTCAGTGCAGTAGCAGGGCAGCAGTACTGACCCTCCTGTGTATGCAGTCATTTCTTCTTGCTGTCCAAAGTCTTTCAGTGTGCAGCCTGTAGAAACAGTCCGGGTTAATGACCAGCACTATTATCAGAACTATGTTATATGTTGGTGGATCTACAGTATAAGAGATAATGGCACACTCACCTTTAGCGACATGGAGCACAAGCAGCAGATAAAAACAAACCTGCATACTTCCTGAGTTCCAGGACCCCCAGATATATGACTGCAGATAGGACCACCGATACACCTGCTCTACTGAACGATCTGTCAACTACACATATACTACAGATACCACAAACACAACCAAACACAACCAAAACTTCTGACTCTCTAAGCAGGACTTCACTGGACTCTACCACACCCTAAAGTGGACACCTCAAAGAGGAAATGTGGTGAGATGGGCTCATCTCTTTCTCTCGCTTTGTCACCCACCCTTTCCAAATATAGCAATGTGGCAGCACCCTGTTAGCTGTCCGATGCTACTTCCTCTATCTTCTCTTTCAACACATGATGCACGTTTCATAATATCATTCATTTCATTGAAACACATTACTACCTCAGTATGTATCATCAATATGTCAACTGTGTTTATCTGGATCATATAGAAAAAACATCAGCGACACAAATGATTGACCAACATGAAACATCTATCAGAAAACAGTCTAATAAAAAGGATTTGCTGAGCTGCTGAGTATACTGGGCATACAGTACTGACAGCTGTATATCTAGAAAACTGTCACGAATAGATGAATGGACATTCTTACTAGATCAGTTATACTAGCTTTTGTTCATCATTAGCTTTCTCTCAGGATATTTCTCTGATTTGAACAGAGAGAAGGAGACAGTTGGGGGCGCAGTTTTGTTAAAGCGTGGGCAGGACAAACCACATCAGATTTGTGTTTGGTGAGGACACTGCTTACAAACATATAGCCAACATATCACTGCTGTCGGAAGAAAACCTTGTATCTCCATTTTTATTGTTTTTCAGTTTTTAACATAATTTGAAAATGCCTGTTGCCATTTACATTGTGTATAAATTTCAGGATGAATGGACCTGTAACGTGCGACCAGAGAGCAGACGCTCGCAGATGTAAAAAAGTGATGATGCTTTACTAGAGTTATTGTCATTGGTACACAGGCACAACAAAATACACTGAAAGCGATCAAACACAACAGGGCTAGGCAGATCAAAGTCCAGAGTACAGGCAAAAGTCCAAAACCAGATATCAATCCAACCAGGCAACAGTACAAAGGGGCAAATCCGAAAATCCAAGAAACCAATCCAGAAACACAAGGTCATAACAGGGGAGATCAAAAAACCAGAATGAACGCTCAGTAGTTTTCAAGAAAACAATACCTCGCAAAGGTCCTATGCTAAGCCCGGGCTAATATACTAAACTAAACAGATCACATGACAAACACACAGGTGAGAGTGATCAGTATTCCGGAGAGCTAGAGCGGCGATTGGTTGCTGCTGCTCTTCCTGGTGTCATGTGATGAAGCGGAGGATTCTGGGAATTGTAGTTTGGAGGCTGGCTGGCCGAATACGTGACAGGACCAAAAGAAATGGACCAAAATGACTTCAAAAGAAGTCTGGTTCCATTGACTTACATTGAAAGTAAAGTATGTTTATTCTTTCTCCTGTAAAGTTACCATTTTGGAGATACGAGGTTTTCTTCCGACAGCAGCGATATACTGCTGCCAACATGTAAGATTATGAACACCCAGTTTACAGCATAGTTGGACTAATTTAAGTGTTAGTTTTCAAAAGAATAAATGCTCAATGACCACATTTAATGGCTTTACAAATCATTTTCCCAGAGGTCTTTTTTTGCTCAGTACCTGTGTGAGCTGTTAGATCACCTATAAAATAATGACAAGTAAGAAAAATTAGTATACAGTCATGAGCAAAAGTTTAAAGATCCCTTGCAAAATGCAAGTCTTGTTGATGTTCTAATTGAAAATAAGTCAACACATTATTTACAGGGAACAAGCTTAAATATAACACTTAACTGCAATTTTAGTGCACAGTTTCTGATTATTGTCTGAGTTTAACATATTGGCAGCCCTGATCCTGTCTAGCTACCTTTGTTGGTGGTCATAGAATTGTTTATATCTTATGAATTACCTGAGGGTTGGGTTGCACCATGATGGCAGCATAGCAAGTACTACATTGAGCATGTTGTCGGAACAAAACCTCATATCTCCACAATGATGACTTTACAGGTGAAGGGAAAAACCTTCTTTACTTTCAATGTAAGTCAATGGAACCAGACTTTTTTTCCAAGTCATTTGGGGCCATTTATTTTGATCCATTCATCATGAAATGTACACACAATGTAAAGGGCATCAGGCTTTTACAGATCATGTCAAAAACTGAAAAACGACGAAAATAGAGATACAAGGTTTTGTTCCGACAGCAGCGATATGTGTGAGAGAGATGAACCACTCCAAAACAGAAGTTTGGAATCAAGTGCAGGTTTATTGTGCAATTAATAGAGGCATTAATTTGTGTAATTAATGTCTTGGCAGGGTCAAGACTTCACAAAGAACGTGAACCTGAATCTCTCTTAATACCTTAAAAATGGCATCCAATTAAGAACAGGTGCCAGTTAGAGGCTCAGTATTCTGGTAAGTGCGACCTCTGCTGGCATGGAGAGAAACTGGTGATGGCAGATGTGACAAAATATTAGTTACAAAACACAGTTTTAAATTTTGGGAAAAAAACTGGTATTATAAACAACGGGACACAATATTCAGCATAGATAGCAGCAAAACAACAATGACAAAAAACAGAAGGAACTACAAAAGTTACAATTATATTGTGTATTTTATGATACAAAATTGAATATTTGTAAAAAATATATTTTAATACTATTCTACTCAGCACATGGATGTATGAACACTTATACAAAAATACCATTTGTAAAGAGTTGTAAATCTTTTGGGGGTTTACTATTTTAAGTTAAGTTTATTAAGTTAAGTTTAAGTTTATTATTAAGTTTTGCCAGAAGTTCAGCCCTTTTAATCAAGTGTGTTGGTCAGTAGCTGGTTTGCTTATCACATTTGCAGCTGTGAAGCTGGTATATCTTTCCAAATGTTATGATCAGTCACTGGTCTATTTGTAAAATTTGTAGATCAGCTGCTAGTCTGGTGATCTAGTGTAGAAGTCAATAGCCGGCCTGTAGCTGGTCACTAATTCAGATGTGTTGTCAGTAGCTGGTCTGTTGATGTCTGTTATTTTTCTTCTCTGCTACAGGCTCACTGCTTCATCAGCGCTGTTGTAGTAAATCATGGCAGCATCTGGCACTTTTGGTGGTTAAGATGAACAAGAAACATTCAGTTCCTGCACACTTTGATAATAAGGCAAATAAAACAATCAATGCATTCACACAAGACAAGCAGTGAGACAGCAATGGTTGTGTAGTTTGTACCTGTGTTTCTCTTGGTGTGATAAACCACAGCTACTATAATGTGGAGAATGATCACAGTCACCAAGGCAAAGGGGACGAAGGGCAGAGACTGTGCAGGTTCAGCACCACTAGCATTGGTCAGGGTGAATTTCCTAAAAGTATCATAGCAAAAAGACCATCGGAAGACAGTAGAAGTAATTATCTGATCATTAAAAATTAAGATCATCCTTTGTGACCCTTATCACAAATATCTCAAATGGTTTAGTTGGAAAGTAACATTTACACCATTTACATAGGCTTCAAATGGTAATATGGAGAACTGGTGTCTGTGAATGGAGTGTGCTGTTACCGGTCTGAGAGGAAATTGTTGCAGTAGGTTCGACTGAAGTTTGAATGTTCCTATCAAGTGTTGGAGTAGGTTTTGGTGCTGGAGCCTCTGGAAAAAGAGAAGATTTTGATAGTACCTGTGATGAGTGCTGTGTAGACTAGCTGCCCCATCACCCACCTCACCTTAACACAGTCAGCACTAATGCAGCAAAGCGAGGTGAGATATATATTTTTAGATACATGTCTGCAGTAGCGGAGCTGTGCTCTTTACCAGAGGGACACCTCAGGGGGACCTACAACACTTTGGAGGACTGATGCCATTATTGTGTTTGAAAAATAGTGTGTAATTAAAATCAACAGTACATGTGAATCAAATAAGTTTTACCTTCAACAATGAGTCTGATAAAGATGTGTTCTTTCCCTTTAACATTACACCTGTACACTCCTCTATCCTGCTTTAGTCAGGTGTGATATGAGTAGAGAGTGATTTCCTGGAGAGTGACCATTAACCAGCTGAACTCTGTTTCTGTACTGACCAGTCTCACTGGATATCACTTCCCATGTCTTTCTGTTTGGGTTGAGTTTCTTCCAGATGAGTCTCTCTGGTGACGTGTGTGGGTCAAAACATTGGCAGGGCAGCAGTACTGACCCATGTTTGTGGGCAGTAATATATTTTTTATCTCCAGGGTTTTTCAGTGTGCAGCCTGCAGGAACAAACCTTTATTGACCTTTATTATCATGCTAATATGGTTATTTAAACAGAAACAAAATTTTACTATAAAGGCATAGTTTTAATAAGACTTGTTTGACCAGCCTAATCCTGGTTTCTTAAAGCATTCCAATGTTACTTAGACGCAGTTGTCACATTGGCCCTTATTCATCACACTGCTCCCCCCTACTGACCAAACTTTACATACACAACAAGATGAAACTAATGTATAAGAAAACTTTGGTGAAATTTGCATGTTCCTCTTTTTTGTCGATCAGAGGTCTGTGCATGTAGTTTGCTGTGACCTTTTTGAGAAGAAACTGTGGTGGAAGGTTCAGCTGAAGTGTTCAGATTAATTTTCCAATCAAACACTGGAGTTTCTGGAAAGAGAGAGGGTTTTGATAGTGTCCATGATGAGTGTATAGACTGGCTGCCCCACCACCAACCCCACCTCAACACAGTCAGCACTAATGCAGCAGGGGAATCAGAATGGACAAACATTTTTTTTCAGAACCACATGAGGTGTAGTGGATCACACCGCTCGGTAGTGGGCCCTGCCAGTTCAACACTTTGGAGGAGGATGAAGTTCGAGGTCAAGCACTGAGTGCACTGCTCCCCCTACTGACTAAACTTCATAGTGCTGAAATTATGACTGCTGCAAAAAAATTAAAATGTGAAATAATCAAAACTTGCATTTATTTATGTATGTGCAGGTAAAGTAAGTACATCCACTTTTGTACTGGACTGCCATGTGCACAGACTTACTGTTATTTAGAATTACTGTTATTTCTTATTTTTATTCTTATCATTGCTATTATAGATGGTATTGATAATAGTTTTGATTCAATAACCACAAATCAAGCATTTTTCCAGGTTGTTAACCCCTTGCATGACCAAGGCCCAGAGTTTTAGAACACACTTCTATTAACTAATATATGTAATAATATGTATTAAGACAGGGATTTTAAGGGACTAATATTTACAGTCTAATTTCCATGCACTCATCCCAGATGAGTTTGATCACATAGATACACCAAAGATAAAATTGTTGAATAAGAAAGCGTCAGTGAAATCTAATTTAACATTCTGATGTCTGTGAATGGAGTTTGCGGTTACCTTTCTGAGAAGAAATTGTGGTTGAAGTTTCAGCTGAGGTTTTCAGATGAGTGTTCCTGTCAAGTGCTGGAGTAGGTTTAGGTGATGGAGTCTCTGGAAAGAGAAGATTTTGATAGTATCCATGATGAGTGCTGTGTAGGCTAACTGCCTCACCACCATGCACCACACTTCAACATAGTCGAGCATTTTTTATATACTCAAGAAGGGAAAAACCTCAGTAGAACACTATGGAGAACGATGCTGTGATGGTGCTATAAAAACAGGGTAACATCTAGCAAACACATGAGTATAGAACTAATAAGAAACAGGTAAACACAATGATAGTAGGGCAAACCCAAAGTAGGTGTTGGTGCTGGAGTCCTTGTTTCTAATAAGAAACAGCAGAACACAATGATGGTAGGGCAGAGCAAGAGTGGAGATGCAAGCTAACAAACATGGCTAATAAGGCTAAGATGGAAAGATTGATGAATAAGAAAACGTCAGTGATCTGATGTCTGTGATTGGAGTTTGCTGTTACCGTTCTGAGAAGACGTTGTGGTGGAAGGTTCAGCTGAAGTTTTCAGATGAATGTTCTCATCAAGCGTTGGAGTAGGTTTAGGTGCTGAAGCCTCTGGACAGAGAGAAGATTATGATAGTATCTGTGATGAATGCTATGTAGGCTACTTGCCTCACCACCACCCACCACACCTCAACACAGTCAAGCATTATGTTCATACATACTCCAGAGGGGACAAACCACAGTAGTGGGCCCTACCAGTAAAACACTATGGAGAACGATGCTGTGTTGGTGCTATAAAATTCAGGCAGTAAGCTAGATTGATAAGGGGTGGTAAAGAATGGAGGATCACTTTACGTTTTTTCTGGAGGCTAAAAGAAAGAACACACATGCAAACACAATTTCACCAGGTGGTTGCTATGGTGGTTGCTATGGTGTCCCAGGTGGTTGCAAAGTGCATTACTAAAGAACCCTTGAAGAAACTTCTTTTTACCTGTGTAGAAAAAAAAGACAAAAGACATCTATTCTTTAAACTACAGAGAACTCAATGGAAATAAGAATTACCCAACATGGAATATGTCTCAGAATTCCAAGGAAAAACTTCACCAAACAACCAATAAATCAATGGCCATTTGTACAAACACATAACTGTAGGACTGAATAAGACACATGTGAACACTATTATGGTATCGCAGAGCAATAGTGGAGACTAAACTAACAAACATGGTAAACAAGATTTGTGAACCGCTGTGAGAGGGAAGTAGGCTGAAACATTCCCAAACAGAATTCCAGACCATACACTGATAATGAAATTATCATGTAAAGATTCCAGAACATTATATACTTATACATTAATTATCTACACAAAACTAATACATGCCTTCACAAGAGAAACCTTACTGAAGATGTTCTTGGAGCATTTGTCATGTAAGACCAACAACAGCTGATTCACCACACACTGCACTATGAAAACAGAGCAGTGCTTTACCTTCAACAGTGAGTCTGATGTCTGTGAATCCATTTTTCTTAGCATCACACCTGTAACTTCCTCCGTCCTCTTTAGTCAGGTGTGATATGAGTAGAGAGAGGTTTCCTGGAGAGTGACCATTAACCAGCTGAACTCTGTCTCTGTACTGATCACTCTCACTGGATATCACTTCCCATGCCTTTCCATTTATGTTGTATTTGTTCCAGGTGGATATCTTAGGTGTGGTGTATAGGTCAGTGCAGGAACAGGGCAGCAGTACTGACCCCCCTGTATCTGCTGTGATCAGCAATGTTTTGTCACTGTTTACCAGAGTGCAGCCTGCAGAAACACATTTAGGTATAAACACATCAGGATTGAGGATTGATTCACTATTAAAGTTTCATTTTACAGAACTAAAACATTTATTTCAACAGTGTCATTGTTAAAGAATCTAGTATAATTAGACTTAATTCCAGCATTACTGCAAAGATAGAGAACTAATCCATTTGTAATGTTCACCTAACAAAGTTGTTTCTATCATGTATCTATTTATGAGATTATCACTGCACTATGCATATAGATCGAATAAGAGCTTTACCTTTTACAGTGAGTCTGATGAGGATGTATTCACTCTGTTTAACATCACAGGTGTAATCTCCTCCATCCTCTTCTGTCAGGTTTGATATGAGTAGAGAGAGATTTCCTGGAGAGTGACCATTAAACAGCTGAACTCTGTTCCTGTACTGACCGCTCTCACTGGATATCTCTTCCCATTCATGTGAGTTTGGGTTGAGTTTCTTCCAGATGAGTCTCTCTGGTGTGGTCTGCAGGTCAGTGCAGTAGCAGGGCAGCAGTACTGACTCTCGTGTGTATGCAGTAATCTCTTTTGTGTGCCGACTTTCTTTCAGTGTGCAGCCTGTAGAAATACACCAGTTAATGACCTTCATGATCATTGCTTGTTCAAGCAGAGGGTTTTATTTTAAAGACATAGTGGTAACACTTTCTATGAATGTCATGTTCGTAAGCATCTATAAACACATTTATAACGTGTTATAATGCCTTCATACGGCACTATAAACATGATTATAAACTTTATAAAAATGAATTACACTGGATTACACTTTATAGCCATGTTTATTATACATTATGAATTGTTAATATTATGCATTATAAGTAGTGTTGATAACATGTTATACTGTCAGTGCCAAAGAAGTCAGTCCCAGCTTGGAGACTGCAAAGTAAAAACAAATACCAAGCTAACGGTGGTGAACATTACCTTTCCCACATTGGGTAAAACACTGATGGCAGCACTAGTTTAAACTCTGACATTTGAAGCCTGTAATGTGCTTTACTGTGAATGTTTTAGTGTTTCAGTAAATCCTTCAGTAAATACTTCAACTTGAAGCCTCACTCTTAACACTGGAGGAGGCTTTAGTACAGTACGCTTCACTTTACTTAGAGCGGACAAATACGACTTATGAGCTCTTATAATTTGTTATGATCAGTACTTATAATGTATTATGTTAACAATTCATAATGCATTATAAGCATGGCTGTAACGTGTAATGCATTATTATAAATAATTATAGCCATGTTTATAATGCCTTATGAATGCATAATAACATCTTATGAATGTGTTTATAGATGCTTACAAAGGTGACATTCATAGAAAGTGTTACCGACATAGTTATAGTAAGACATGCTTGACCAGTCTAAGCCTAGTTTTTTTTAAAAAAGCATCCAAATGTTCTTTGGACACATTTGACATATCTAGTGCTGGTCCATGTGCAGCTCCTGTGCTGGCTCCCCATCCTTTTCTAGTGCTAGCTTCCCAAGCTGCTCCTCCAGTGCTGGTTCATGTGCAGCTTCTGTGCCAGCTCCCAGTCCCGTTCCAGTGCTGACTTCCCAAGCTGCTCCTCCAGTGCCAGCTCCCTGTCCTTTTCCAGTGGAAGCTATTATGATTACTTCTCCTGCCCTGGCTTCTGGAGTTGATCCTCTGGTATCTGCTCCCATAGCTGTTCCAGCACTGGCTTTTTAGAACTGCTCCTGCAGCACCAGATCCCAAAGCTGCTCCTTCAGTGCCAGGTCAATGCCACTTAGCTAATCCCCTCTGCTGGGTCTAGGGCTGGCCCTCACCTTGACCCAGACTCTTTTCCTGGCCCTCACTCTGACTAGTTGCCTGTCATTCCTATAATGGCTGTGGCTTCTCACTGTCCAGTTCCTCCCTTGGTCTTGCACTCAAGCAACTTTAAGGGGTTTTTCTGTCTCAATGTCTCCTCCCTCTGGGGAGAATCCATTTGGACCTGGCGAGTTACGCATTGCTTCACTCCAGTTCTCCCCTGCTTCCCCCTCAGGAGATTCAGAGCATAGACTGTCTTATTTTATGTGGTCTCTACTCAGCTTTGGCCCCACCTCTCATAACTGTCACCTGTGACTCATTTCATAGACACTAGATAACTTATATAGATCCCTTAATTTAGCCGTCCGGTTTGCAAAGGCTGCGCTCTTTTCCGGAGTGCTGAGCAGAGTTTCTTTGTTAGTTTGTTTCTGTGTTGACCTGAGTGTTGTTTTTCTGGATTTCTTATTATGGATTTGGCTGTGATATCTGCCTGTTTTCTGACCACTGCCTGTAATGACTGAGTTTTGAATTGCCCCTAAAAAAGCTACTCTTTGCCTGCTTTTAGTAAGTGGCACTTGCAATGACTATTTCATTGTGATACTGTAGAAAAACGTAATTTTGAGCAGATGAACAGTTCTGAGTGAAGACAATTTGATTACAGTATGGATTTTGAATTATGCTTTAAGTGGCAATGCTATGGGATATCTACAGTAAGACAGAATGGCGCACTCACCTTCAGCAACATGCTGCACAAGCAGCAGCTAAAACTAAACCTGCAAACCTGAGTTTTAGAACCTCCTCACTACACACTGCAATAGCACTACTGCAGATACAACCACTTTACTGATTAATCTATCACCTACACTTGTGCTACCTCTTTACTTCTGCAGAACTCTTCAAATCTAAAGTCTATTCCTGGATCTCTCTCAGCAGGACTTGACGGGAATCTACCACATCCTCTTGCGGGCACCTCTAATAGCAGTGGTGCTCAGAAGAACAGGCATTTTTGTCTCTGCCCCTCACCCACACCAAATAAAGGTTTGAGATAGCATCTTGTGAGCTGGTACTTGCTACTTCTTCTTTCATCTTTTTTAAAAAATATTTCTCTATACAATTTACATTTAGGGCCTGCTGTACTAAGCCTTTTGCTCCAGTCTTAAGAGCAAATCAGACACATTCTGCCTATATGTTATGTGTGAAACTGGTGCTGGTAAAGGTTTATGTGCTCTGTGCATGGTTAAATATAAGTGCACTTTTCTTCGCCATGCGTATGCATCTGAGGGAGGGCTGTGGAAAATGCTGGAGGTTTGAACAAAGCATGGGTAAAAGCACACATGGTCCACAAACAAACCAAACCGCATACAGTTTACTATGCAGCACTGGTGTAGTTTGGGTTTGCATTGCCGTAACAGTGAGCCAGAGATCCATGATGGACATAACATATGAGAAAATCTCAAAATAAACAGTTATACAATAATAATTGTTTGCAAACCACTGTTTTTATTCTGACATCAGTGACAGCAACTTTTCCAAATAGCTTGGCCTACTTTTGAAGCCCTAATCCATCTTTTACAAAATTGCTAATTCCACAGTGCTAATGTTAGCAAATCTGGCCCAAGGTTAATTAATGCATCATGCTACCGGTAGGCCCAGCCAGCATATCAAGCTAATGTCTATTAGAATCAACATTCACATGTTGAGTATAAAAAGCAATGTACTACTCGATCTTAAGCATGAAGTTTCATTTAATGAAACTAAGCAATATAACACAATTATTTCACCAATTTTTTATCATTACACAAAAATCTAGTATCATAAGACTTAAATCCAGCACTATTGCAAAGCCACAGAAATGCATTCGTAATGTTCACCTTTAAAGCTTTAAAGGTCGTTCTGATATCATCACTGCACAATGCGTGTGGATCTGTTTTACCTTCAACAGCGAGACTGATGAAGATGTATTCCCTCCCATTGACATCACATGTGTACTCTCCTCCATCCTCTTCCGTCAGGTGTGATATGAGTAGAGAGAGATTTCCTGGAGAGTGACCATTAACCAGCTGAACTCTGTTTGGGTACTGACCACTCTCACTGGATATCTCTTCCCATGCATGTGTGTATTTGTTGAGTTTCTTCCAGATGAGTCTCTCTGGTGTGGTCCGCAGGTCAGTGCAGTAGCAGGGCAGCAGTACTGACTCTCGCGTGTATGCGGTTATCCTTTTTGTCTGCCGACTGTCTTTCAGTGTGCAGCCTGCAGAAGCACTACAGTTAATGACCTTCACCATCATTGCTGGTAAGCCCAGTTTCTTAAAAGCATTCTAAATGTTAGTTAGACCAGTGTTTCTCAACCCTGGTCCTGGAGGCCCACTGTCCTGCACCTTTTAGTGCTTTTCCTGCTTTAACACACCCACTTCAACTCAGTAATGGGTTGTTGAGCTGATTAGTTGGACCAGGTATGTTGGGAGCAGGGTGAACACTAAAAAATGGAGGGCAGTGGGCGTACAGGACCAGGGTTGAGAAACACTGACTTAAACACAGTATAGTAATCGATACCTGCAATAACTTTGTGTTATTATACTATAGAGAAACTTCATTTTGAGTCGGGAAACAGTTCTAAAAGTGATGATAATCAGCTACCAGAATGATCACTTGGGTCAGGTAGGTTTTGAAGTAGCTTTGACGGCAACCAATGAACACAACCATGTAATTTCAGTAAGTGCGTACCCTTACATTTCCACACTACCAGTAAGATTACTGTATGATCTTGAATGAAGCTTTAAATGGTACCGTGTACTGGAGTGTCTACAGTAAGAGAGAAAACGGCACACTGACCTTCAGCCAGATGGAGCACAAGCAGCAGATAACACCAAACCTGCATTCTTCCTGAGATCCACAACCTCCTCGCTACATACAGAGACAGCACAAACGCAGATGCAATCACTCCTACACCTGATCTATTGAATGATCTTTCTACTACATAAATACTACACATACACAATCTTCCTGACACAATCAGCACGCAACTAAATTCTGCATCTCTCTCAGCCGGACTTCACTGGACCACTAATGTGGATGTCTCAGATAGGAACTGTGTTGAAATAAGGTCATATGTTTGTCTCTCTGTTGCTCACTGACGCCAAATATAGTGGGAGCATCCTGTCAGTTTGCTACTTCCTGTTTCCTCTCTTTCATCTCTTGATGCAGCGTAGTTATTTGCTGCAATAGTCACATTATTTCTGTCTACAATCCACATTCAGGGCCGGATGTACTTCAAGTCTATTGCTTCAGTCTTAAAAAGCAGATCAGACACATTCCTGTTATGTATGAAACTGGCGCATTAGCCTAAGGTCGACGTTTATGCGCCATGTGCACCGTAACACATAGGCATGCACCGCCTCCTCATGCATATGCATTTGAGGGAGGGCCATGCAAAATGTGGGAGGTTTGCAGAAAAAATGAGTGGAGGGATAATTATAGGATTATGTTTGGCTCAGTGATGTAGTCCTGGGACAAAAAGGGAGTGTACTATTAATCTGCACCAGTCCAGCACCAGCCAAACACACAAGGTCAACAAATACAGTTTACTGGTGTAGTTTGGGTTTGCATTGCTGTAACAGTGAGTCCGAGATCTTTGAGCTCACATGAACAACATCAGTGTTCTGCCCTATCTCTCAAAATATTAAAAATACAGTGGTGCTTTAAAGTTTGTGAACCCTTCAGAATTTTCTACATTTCTGCATAAATTTGATTTAAAAAAGTCCCATTACTAGATAAAGAGAACCAGAGAGACACAAATATTGCACTTGGTCATTTATATATTGAGAAAAATGATCTAATATTACGTATCTGTGAGTGGCGAAAGTATGTGACCCTTTGCTTTCAGTATATGGTGTGACCCCCTTGTGCAGCAATAACTGCAACCAAACATTTCCTGTAACTGTTCGTTAGTCCTGCACATCGCCTTTGTGGAATTTTAGCTCATTCCTCCATACAAAACAGCTTCAACATTTATGTTGGTGGGTTTCCTCCCATGAACTGCTTGCTTTGGGTCCCTCCATAATATTTCTATAGGATTAAGGTCAGGACTTTGACTTTCCAAAACATTAACATTATTCTGCTTTAACCATTCTCTGGTAGAATGACTTAGGGCCTTTGCCTTGCTGCATGACCCACATTCCCTTGAGTTTCAGCTCACGGACAGATGTCCTGACATTTTCCTTTAGAATTTGCTGATATGATTCAGAATTCATTGTTCCATCAATGACAGCAAGCTGTGCTGGCCCAGATGCAGCAAAACTGGCCCAAACCATGATACTACCACCACCATGTTTTGCAGATGGGATTAGGTTTTTTGCTGGAATGTGGTGTTTTCCTTTCTTCAAACATAACACATCTCATTTAAACCGAAAAGATCTATTTTGGTCTCATCAGTCCATAAAGCATTGTTCCAATAGCCTTCTGGCTTGTCTGTGTGATCTTTAGCAAACTGCAGACGGGCAGCAATGTTCTTTTTGGAGAGCAGCAGCTTTTTCCTTGCAACCCTGCCATGCACACCGTTGTTGTTCAGTGTTCTCCTGATGGTGGACATGGTTAACATTAGTCACTGTGAGACAGGCCTTTAGTTGCTTAGAAGTTACTCTGGGCTCCTTAGTGACCTCGCGGACACGCCTTTCTCTTAGTGTGATCTTTGTTGGTTGACCACTCCTGGGGAGCATAACAATGGTCTTGAATTTCCTCCATTTGGACACAATCTGTCTGACTGTGTTTGGTGAAGTCCAAACTCTTTCGAGATGGTTTTATAAACTTTCCAGCCTGATAAGCATCAACAACTCTTCTTCTGAGGTCCTCAGAAACCTCCTTTGTTCGTGCCATGATACACTTCCACAAACGTGTTGTGAAGATCAGACTGTGACAGATCCCTGTCTTTTAAATAATCACTCATGCCTGATTGCCATCCCACTGATTGAAAATATCTGACTAATTTCACCTCAAGGTTCACATACTTTTTACTTATGTAATATTGGATAATTTTACTCAATAAATAAATGACCAAGTCTAATATTTTTGTCTCATCTGTTCGGTTAAATTTCTCTTGATCTACTATTAGGACTTGTGTGAAAATCTGATGAAATATTATGTCAAATTTAAGCAGAAATATAGAAAATTCTAAATGGTTCACAAACTTTCAAGCACCACTGCATATATATATAAAATCATGATTACAGGTATTAGTCTAATGCACATTTGACTTACTGACTGTAATTTGACCCTAAATAAATATTTTCAGAACAGTTCATAGCTGAACATTAAATCATTTAAACATTGAGTGAACAAGAAAATAATGTTGCAGTTTCCCATTTCCATCACCAACATCCATTGAGAGCTACAGTGGCTGCATGTTCCAACTCCTCTGTCATTGTTATATCCTTACTGTTCCACTGTGGCTTTTCACTGTACCAATGCTTTTGGTTCTTCTCATAATATTTTTTTGTATCATATAATATTGTTATTTTAACTATTAGTTAAGGATATTTTGCAACTTTAGCAAATCTTTCTCGTTTCTATGTTAAACACTGATGAGTCACATAAGCATTTTAGTTATGCCACCCCCTAGTGAATAACTTTCAAAAACTGGGTATTTGGCCTCTGAGTGTCTTGTTGACTACATGTACCAAGATTTGTGAAAATTGGATATCGTCATGTTGATACTATATAGACTTAGTATCGTCCTGTGATACTAGGTCTATACTGGTGACATCCTAACATTTCATTGGCCTATAGTAGCTGATTGGGTTATCTGATCAAAAATCTTTGAACAATCTTGTATCGTATGATGTGACATCATATTTTTGCGTGAAATGGAGAAATGGTCACAGAGGAGGTGTCAAAAAAGTTGGAGAAATTTAAAATGGAAGAAAGTTGCATAGGGTGGGAATTGAAACAATTTGTACTACTACATTTGGGGGAATGCAAGGATTCATGACTCTAGCCCAGATAACAGCAGAGATATCAACCAATATATAAAATCGCTTAATGTAGTACCTCCTTGGGATGATTAGATTTCATTGCAGTTGTATAAATAGCAGGTAGAATTTGGTACCTGCCTACCAAGTTTGGTGTCTGTGCATCTTATCATTTTTGACAACCAGGCATCTTTAAGGTGAAAAATAATAATAAGCAGAAATTCAATTCTGAAGCAAAACAATTGATCAAATGTGTTTCATGAAAAAACCAATAAAAATATATGGATATGCTGTGTTTACGTATATGGAAAGGAACGGACGTAGATCCCGATACAGGCACAGTAGTATGATACTCTCCAGGTATCTTCATCAAAGATTACATCAAAACACATCATTATCACCTTAACAAAGCCAACACGTTACAGATTATCAGCAGGAGAGAGAATGGCGCACTCACCTTTTGCAACATGGAGCACAAGCAACAGATAAAAGCAAACCTGCATCCTTACTGAGTCCTTGTAGTAATACACTCCTACACTCCTATACTCTTCAACACTACTGTCTTCTGAAAGACTGATGTCACTGGACTCTATCACACCATAATGCTCCCTCAGCAAACAGGAAATGCATTCAGCGGACTTCATTCTATTTCTTTCTTTCTCACGCACGCTAAATATATTGATGTAGTCTCCCATTAGTCATGACTAGCTAGTTACTATATTTTCTCTTTCAGTACTTGATGCACCACATAGTCACTGTGTGCAGTTCATGGTATTTGTTGACCTTGTGTGTTTGGATGGTGCTGGACTGGTGCAGATTCATACAACAAACAATACAAAACACAAAACCTTGGCGGGCCACTTTTCAATGGCTTCAGTCAGCTAGACTTTTCAGTCTTTTATCCTCACAGCTTTTCAGCTCTTCAGTCTTTGTTGCTCTTGCTGCTGCTGCTCGTCCCTGTCTCTCCCTCTCTCTGTTCCCTCTCAGCTCTTTAAAAGGGGTTCACGCTGCCAGCCAGATCAGCATCAGCTGCCTCTCATTAAGGGCAGCGTGAGCACCTGAGCTGAGAGGGAACGAGAGCTCGCCGCTCCGCCTCCCTGCCACCGGCCCAGCTTGCAGCTCAGCCACCCGGGTCGAACGTGAGGTGTAGTGGAGCGGCCTCGCTGTGTAATAGGGGGCGGGGCCCAGGCGGCGGAGCTCGGGACTCGCTCCTTGCCCTGCTGCCTCTCGTAGCCGGCCCCATCGTCATCTTCGTCCTCCATACACTCACTGCAAAATTCACTATTCACTGTAATAAAACCCCTACCATGTAGCACCCTCTTACTAGTGTACAGTTAGAGACTGCAGTACCTCTGTCTTTCCCCTGGTTTTGCATGGTCATAACAGACAAGACCAGGTGCTAGGATAGCCACCCACCCCTTAGGTACAGTTGACGTCCAACAGTGCCAATAAATAAAAGTATTTGTTTTTCTAAATCCACACAGAGAAGACAAAATAGATTCAAGAGGTGTTGGATAGACAAATCTAAAACAACTACCATTATAAGAGAGATTATTAACCTTATCTAAGTGAGCATCTCATTGGTAAAACTGTAACAAGGAGGATTCTCAGGAAAAAACTCAGATAACTTGAAGTTCCTCTCCATAACGTGGCTTTGCTTAGAAACTGGCACAGCAAAAAGAATACAGAAGGGAAAATGGCCCTCAGCCTAGCTCACGGTTTCTTACTGTTTGCTGGCTAGAATCAGTCACTCAGCTACCACAACACAAAGAAGAACCTAGCCTCGGCCTTCAAAATTAGAGCATGCTGGTGCTCCCTCTTATTCTTTTTAACATGAATGGGCTGTGAAGTGGTGCTGAGTTACAGGGAGTTCTGATAGTACCTGCAAGGCTGGCCCTTTTAGCACTGAGGCTAACTGCGCTGACTTCATCTGGCCACCCCTGCTCGCCGTTGCCGCAGCCATCTCAAGTTGCTGCAGTTGACATGTCCAACCCCCCGTACCATCATAACACCTTACCTCAGGCAGAAGCCCTGGAGTTGTAGGGGTGACTTCACCTCCTGTATTTGTCGAGTCACATTTGGGGCTGGTAGCAGCATTGGGTCACGACATTGGGAGGGATTAATTTCAACACCTACTGTAATTGCCCTATCAGAATTAATTTTTCAAAAAGATCACTACTCATTTTTACTTGTTCTTGTATAAATGATTCACTCATTTTGCCAATTTTTTTGCTTTCGCCTTTTTCTTTTGACTAATTTTGCTGACCATTTTTTTTTTGCCTCTTGAAACACTTTTTGCTTCTAAAATCTTTCTTCAGCTTCTGACCTTTGGCAAATAGTCATGAGGGGTGGGTCTTACAAGAGGGCCTTCATCTGGACATTATGTCCACAGCATTAGTGATGATCATCAAAAATCTGCTTCTGTACTGACCACTCTCACTGGATATATCTTCCCGTGTGTCTCTGTTTGTATTGTGTTTCTTCCAGGTGAATGTCTTAGGTTTGGTTTGTAGGTCAGCACAGGAGCAGGGCAGCAGTAGTGACCCTCTAGTGTGTGCTGTGATATAAAATATTTCTGTACTGTTTATCAAAGCACAGCCTTTATAAACATTTATAGGTACAAATCCAATTCCAACAAATTGGGTCTGTAAACAAAATGCAAATAAAAACAGAAAGCAGCAATTTATAAATCTATTTTATCCTTTATTTAAATGAATGAATCAGTACAAAGACAGTATATGTAATGTTTTACCTAAAGAACTTCAATAAAAATGTTGGGACAGGAGCAATTTTAGACTCGAAACATTGAGAAATGTTCAAATAAACAGGTGATGCAATCATTTTTGGATATTTAAGGTGAATCCAGGAAAGGTCCAGTCCTTTTTGAGCAAGAATGGATCAACCACTTTGACAAAAATGCTTTAGCAAAAAATCCAATGGTTTAAAAATAACATTCATGAGCAAGATTTTGCAAGGATTTTAGGTGTTTCACCCCCTACCGTGCATAATATCATCAAAAGATTCAGGGAATGTGGAGAAATCTCTGTGCATAAAGGCAAGGCCAAGAACCACAATGAATGTCTGATATATGATATATATGAAAAACTAATAGAATTATCTGATGGATATCACCACATGGGCTTGGGTATACTTTGATAAACTATTGTCAATAAACACTGTTCATTCATGCATCCACAAATGCCAAAAAAAGTTAAGACTGTACTTTGCACAGTGGAAGCCATACCTCAACAACATTCAGAAACACTGCTGACTTCTCTGGGCTTGAGCTCATGTGAAATAGACTGATACACAGTGAAAACAAAGTTCAGCAGTTCAAAAGCCAGTGTTTGTCATGGTACTATTTTTAGCATAACACTGAACACATTTTCGATCATCATATGATGCCTTTTAGATAGTGTCTTTTTCAGAGACCATGCTTATTTCAAAATTACAACACCAAGCTACATGCTGCATGTGTTACAACAGCATAGCTGAATAATCAGAGAGTGCTGGTGCCAAACTGCCTGTCTTCTATTGAAAATGTGTGCTGTATTATTAAGCTCAAAATACAACAATGAAGGCCCTGTACAGTTGCACAGCTGTAGACGTAAAGGCGTTTATATTGTACAACATAAAATATTGTGGTTTTGAATCATTTTCATGTTAAATGCAGGTCAAACAGAATTTACTGATCGCTGCTTTCTGTCTTCATTAGCATTTGTTATGACAAACCTGATACAATCCTGTTATCAGAAACCTGTTTATAATTTGCTGAATGCAGTTATTTTTCACTTTATTTGGAGAGTCCAAGTTCATACCTGTAGATGTTCAACCTGAGAGGAACTGAACATGTAACAGGTTTAATACAGACCATCTCAACATCCTTAACAAGCTCTTATAGACACACTGACACCATTCTGTACCTGGAGCTTAACTGGATTAGGTTTTGGTTAAGATTCGGGTTAAGTTTAGGGCCAGGGCGAGGGTTAAGTTTTGGATAAGGTTGGTTAAGGTTAGGTTTTGCTTAATGGAAGTAACACATTAAGTCTACTTCATGACATAGCAACTTGTTTTTTACCCATTTCCAAAGCCAAACACAAATATAATGTTAATTTGTGTTAAACACACACACACACACACACACACACGCACACATACACACACGCACACACTACTCTGTCAGGGTATCAAGTTTTCCTTTCTCAGGTCTCCCAGGGACATTTTTGACCCTATCCAGAGCTTCAAACTAGTAAGATTCTATTTTAAGGAACACATTTTGAAAATGTATTATGGTCTTGTAGTTTGTTTAATAAAGCCTTAACTATAAACTATACACTAAGCTTTATTCTTTATGACCTGTATTAGCACATCATTGAAAGTGTATTGTGTGAAAATTGCTCATATTGCATTATCAGGTTCAACAAAGCACAATAAGCACGTTAATCATCATCCTAACAGATTACAGAGCATGAAATAAATCAAAATTCACATCCTATTAGTGTTTATTGGACAAGATTTCCAGTCTTTCAGGTTCTAGATAGCTTCAGCTGACTTCTGGAGCTTATTTTATTAGAGTTAATAAGAGTTTGATAAGGTCACTATCAAGTAATACAAAACGTGTTGATGTGAGCTTGACGTCTTCTCTGAGCACAATGAGGCTAAATGAAAGCAAGAAATCACTGCATAATATTATTTTTTATTTAGTTTAGTTTTATCTCAAGTTTAAGGTGTCAGGTAAAAATCACAGGCCAAAATATACATAATTGTCAACAAATTTCACAAAATCAGCAGTAATATATAATAATAATAATAAAAAAAAAACAGTATAAGGCATCACTGAGTAGTAAAACAACACAAATAAAAAATGAATCAAAATAAGCCTCTACATATCTACAGAGGAAAAGTTTGAGTTATGCCAGCCATGTTCAAATCTTGTATTTAAGACTGGCTGTACTCTGCACCAGTACTCTGCCCCTCTTGAACTTGGCTGGTCTGTTGACCAGGTGTGTAGGTCAGTAGCTGGTCTGTTTATCAACTGTGTTATCAACAGTAGCTGATCTGCTGATTTGTTGTGTAGGTCGGTAAGTGATCTGTTGATTGCATGTGTTGTTCAGTAGCTGGTCTGTTGATCACGTATGTAAGCAAGTAAGCAAAGTTTATTTATATAGCGCTTTTTACAACAGGTGTTGTCACAAAGCAGCTTTACAAGGAAGTCAGCATTATAGAAAGAAATCCGGGTCCAAGCCCCCATGAGCAAGCCAGAGGCGACAGTGGCAAGGAAAAACTCCCTAAGAGAAACAGGAAGAAACCTTGAGAGGAACCAAGACTCAGAAGGGGAACCCATCCTCCTCTGGTCGACACCGGATAGTAAAACATTGTTAGTATTATAGTACAAAAACAGGGAAAACAGGTGGAGCAAATCAGAACGCACAGGATGGGCAGCTGTTCAACTCGGCAAAAAAAAGAAAGGAAGAACAAACAGAGAGTCAGTTCTGTTGATTAATTTGAGTAGTTTAAATGATTAATTTTTATTATTTCAATGCAAAATTCAACTGGCAACCAGTGTAAGGTTGATAAAACTGGGCTGATATGGTCAAACTTTATGGTTCTAGTAAGAACTCTGGATGCAGCGTTCTGGACCAGCTGAAGCTTGTTAAGGCTTTTGCTGGACCATCCAGACAGCAGTGCATTACAGTAATCTAGCCTTGAAGTAATAAATGCATGAACTAACTTTTCTGCATCCTGTAGAGAGAATGCATTTCTCAATTCAGCAATATTGCGGAGATGCAGGAAGGCTGTTCTAGTAACATTAGTTATATGTGCGTCGAAGGACAGATCAGGGTCTATAATGACTCCAAGGTATTTAGGGGAGTAGCTGGTCTATTGATCAGGTTTGTATGTCAAGTAAATAGGTGGTCTGTTAATTGGGTATGTTGGTCAGTAGCTCATCTTCTAATAAGGTTTGTAGCTTAGCAGCTTGTCTTTCAATCAGGTGTGTCAGTCAGAGCTGGTCTGTTGATCAGTTGTGTTGGGCAGAAGCTGGTCTGTTGATCAGATGTAGAGGTCAGTGGGCGGTCTATTGATCATATGTGTTGTCAGTAGCTGCTCTATTGTTCTTCTTCTCCACTGCAGACTCACTGATCCATCTCCATCAGCGGTGCTGTAGTAAGCTGTAGCAGGATCTGGCACTGAAGTAGCTGACATGAACAAGAAAATCAAACAGGATCAGATACTGAAGCAGGTAAAATGCATGATGCATTCACATTCACTCAAGAACAGGAGCAAAATCAGAATGGCTTAATTGTATAGTTTGTACCTTTGGTTCTCTTGGTGAGATAGACCACAGCTACTATAATGTGGAGAAAGATCACAGTCACCAAGGCAAAGGGGACAAAGGGCTGTCCAGACTGTCCAGGTTCTGCAATAGCATCGGTGTATGGTAAGTTGCCTAATGTAGTAGCATATAGACCACTGCAAGACAATAGAGTAAGTATCTAAACATTAAAAATAAAGATTATAACACTATAATGCTTTTAAGGAATCTGAGACCTGACACACATACAATAACTCACACTGATAAGATGCAAGCCATTTACTTTTAATGACAATATATCAATACAATAACACAAAAAAGCTAAAGGCAATTACAGAAATGTGAGATCTGTGGTGAAAGGTCCTGCTATGTTTGTAGATTAAATTTGCTAACAAGAGTTGGAGTAGGTTTTGAAGTTGGGACCACTGTAAAGAAAATAATACTCCCCAAGCCCCCCGACAATCTCCTAGACAGTCAGTTAAAGCAGAGGAATGAGAAGAAATACACATTTTCCGTTTATTACCTAACCGAACATCTAATAAACTAAAGGATATTTGTACAGACACAGGACTAACAGTAGGGGACAGCAAGCATAGAGACACAAGCTAACAAATAGGGCTAGAAAGACACATGTGAACAGTAATAAGGAGGAGAAGTTGTGCTGGAAAGTTCCCAAAATGATTCCAGAGCTGGGTTTGTGTGACAATGAAATTGTTTCATAGTAATTATACCCACAAAACTACTGTATACACACCCTAACTACAGAATGCTTGTTGAATACCTTCTTGGATCATTTGTGATAAAAATTTATTACAATTGCCTAACTACATGCATCCCACTAGGAAAACATACCACTGTTTTACCTTTAACAGTGACTCTGATGTTTATCAATCCACTTTTCATAGCATTGCACTTGTAATCTCCTCCATCCTCTTCAGTCAGGTGTGATATGAGTAGAGAGAGATTTCCTGGAGAGTGACCATTAACCAGCTGGACTCTGTTTCTGTACTGACTACTCTCAAAGGTTATCCTGTCCCAGTTTGTAGTGGACTGGTTATATTTCAGCCAGGTGAATCTCTCAGGTTTGGCACGTAGGTAAATGCAGTAGCAGGGCAGCAGTACTGAATCTCCTATATGTGCTGCAATTGTTGTCCCACTGTTTTCCAGAGTGCAGCCTGCAGAAACCCATATGAACACAAACACTTCAAAGTGAGCAGGTGAACAAGTGACTGATCCTGATTTTAAACATGATTTTAAAAATTGTGGTTTGCAATAAGTCTGTCAGGTGTAATACCTGCCTTCACCACCAGAGGTCAGCCTCACCTGAGTACTGACTTACTTCCTAGTTACACCCTGACCTCTCAGCTGCAGCTCATTTACCTCCCTATATAAGGACCTTCAATAACACTGGCTCTCTGAGAGGTATTCCCAGTTATTCTGCATATCAAGCCTTGTTTCTTCTTGACTGTTGGATATTTTGGATTACCTAGACCCCTTTCTGAACTCTTGGACTCTGCTTTTTGATCTCCCCTTGGTACTTTTGCTGTTTTGTGAACTTTCTTTTTTTACTTTTGGACTGTTTCTGGCTCTGATTCTGGTTTTTGTGTGTTTTGAGTAAACGGGTTTCATGGATTCCAATCCATCTGGAGAGGCTTCCTTACAAAGTCATCCAGAAACCCAGGAGCTTTTTTAATGAAATTGTGTGAAAACAAAAGTTTTTGTTTTTTTTTCCATATGACTAACTACAGCTATTATCATCATATGACTGCACTGATTTTGTGCTACCAAAATCTTAGCATTAGCTTTGCAATAAATAGAGGTATATTAAGAACAGCAAACAAAACATATACACATTCAAAACACATACAGACACAGTTCCCTAGTTCACAAGGAGAAAAATTCCAGTCAAACTGTGCCGTCACACAGCAAAGTCCCCAGTTCATGAACTAGTCAAACTGCACTGTCAACAGTTTGCAGCCAAGTCAAACTGTGGTGTCACAGTGCAGAATGCCTGGATCGTGGCTTGAGAGTTCACAACCCAATCAAACTTAGTTCCACATTGGAAAAACATGCCAGCTCACGACCCAGTCAAACACAGGTACCATGGTAAAAGTGTTCTTGCTCATAGCCCAGACAAACTCTTCAACTGCTGTAAAGCTGTAAAAGTGTCCTGGCTCGTGGCCCAGTCAAACTCTACTACTGGTGCAAAATGTGTCCTAGCTCATGGCCCAGTCAAAATCTACTATTTAGGTAAAATGTGACCCAGCTTGTGACCCTGTCAAACTGTACCACTGCCATAAAAGAGTCTCAGCTCTTGACCCAGTCAAACTCTATAATGCCGTTAAAAGTGTCCCAGTTCATGGCCCAGTCAAACTCTACTACTGTGGTAAAATGTGTCTGGGCTGGCAAATGTGCCATTTAAACTCCGCTACTGCAGGGAATACTCTCCTGGCTCGCTACCCCTACCACAGTCTCTCATCCAGTTCTCAGCAAGGAAAGTTAAAAAACAAATCACAAATATACCACAAACCACAAAAAAAAAAAAATCTAAATGTAAAGTGCCAACAAAAATGTGCACAGCATTCTTACACCAGACATAAATCGCAAACATGTCTGTGTAAAGAGATGTCATATTGTAATTAGTTTATTTTCCTTTGACTGTTCATTTAAAACAACTGTGTAAAATTGTTACATAGCAGAAGTTGATTAAGTGTTTTTTTTTTAATTGTTCATCTAAAATGCTGTTTTGCTTTGCATCATTTTATTGAAAGTATTTATTTAATTTAGTTACATTGCATGTTATCACATTATTTTTAGGTGACAAACCTTGCTGTCAGAGGTGGGAACTATTGACACTCAAATCCCAAGTCAACTCAGTGAAGTCTCAATTTAAGTCTCGAGTTAGTACAGGCAAGTCTCAAGTCAAGTCCCAAGTCAATAAATGTGAGTCTTAAGTCAAGTCCCAAGTCCTAATCTTTGAGGCCTATACAAATCAGTCTGCATTCTTCAGCTAATTTAAAGCCATTTCAACACTGACTACCACAAACAATGGTAACTGTCATGTAGCCTTTTAATAACAACATGTTAGTAGTGTAAGGCTATATGTTAAGGTTTTTCTCTACCCTTCCATGGATTTTGTATTTTATTTGGTTACATGGATAATCAGGACAGACATAATGGTATACACAAACAGTAGTGCACTACACATTAAAACAGATTAAAGTACTCTTAAGCACTATTAAACTTAATAAATATATATTTGAAGATAATTTATGATTTTCAGGACCATTAGGAGCACAGGATTCAAATCAAAACTAGCTAAGCACTAAAAGTAGCTCAACAAACTAAAAACAACCACTAGTTTTAAATGAATTTAGACAACAAAAAACCAGAATGACCGAACTCATCAAAACTTACAGGAAAGACAGCAAAATGACAGTGAATGAAGTTCACTACTTTGAATTTTCTGTTCAAAATGGTCAATTCACCTGGTAAGTTTCTGCAGTGTAATTGCTAAGTGAGGACTTTAACACTACTGAAAATGCTTGTTAGCAACTGTTAAAACTCTAATGACCTTATTACCGAACTGTGGATTTGGATCAAATAAGTTTTACCTTTAACTGTGAGTATGATGTAGACATATTCATGTTCTTCAGCATTACACTGGTAACTTCCTCCATCCTCTTCAGTCAGGTTTGATATGAGTAGAGAGAGATTTGCTGGAGAGTGACCATTAACCAGCTGAACTCTGTTTCTGTACTGACCACTCTCACTGGATATCTCTTCCTGTGTGTTTATGTTGCCTTTTGACCAGCTGAATCTCACAGGTGTGGTGTACAGCTCAGCACAGTAGCAGGGCAGCAGCACTGACTCTCCTGTATATGCAGTAATGTCTTTTGTCTGCCATTCGTCTTGCAGTACGCAGCCTGCAGAAATACACCAGTTAATAGTCGTCACCATGAACCCCTTCTGAACATGCAGAAGTACTTTAAAAATCAGCTTTGATTTCCTCATACCATTTTATCACTTTTGTATCAGTTGGGTAGCCAAAAACAAGATTAATAAATAATTAGGCATCTTAATAAAAAGACATGCTTGACCAGCCTAAGGCATGCTCCAGACAGTGTGACCAGTTGTGTATGTCAAAAGCCTGTCTGTTGATCAAGTGTGTAGGTCAAAAGACTGTCTGTTGATCAAGTGTGTTGGTCAAAAGCCTGTCTGTTGATGAGGTGTGTAGGTCAAAAGCTGCTCTGTTGATCAAGTGTTTAGGTCAGTGGCTGATCAACTGATCAAGTGTGTACTCCACACCCAAAGTAACATTTTTCATTGTAAATGTTTTTGTATTGTGGCTCTGCAGTTCCTGCATGACTAAAGCTACCTGTTTTGGCGCACTGTGGCTTCTGTTGCAGAAATGTCACAGTCATGGTTTGATGTGCTGCACAGAGTTAAGAGGACACATCCACCATGAGTTCAAATCATACAGTTCTCAATTGAGCAGGAAGCTCTCATTGAAATTAAACAGGGGCTTTACAAAAACAACAGCTCAAATCACCAAACAAATGTTTATCCTCAAAGTAATAACTTACTCTTTAGTTATTTGTTATCATTTTGACCTACTAAATAAAATTGAGAAAAGTACCATCACAAGGCCAAATGTGTCTATAGTGAACACCTAACAAAACTTTACAGCTGATTCTATCAAGTATCTAGTTAACTGAATATGCATGTGGATCAAGACAGTATTTTACCTTTAACAGTGAGTCTGATGAAGATGTGTCCACTCTCTTTAACATCACATGTGTAATCTCCTCCGTCCTCTTCAGTCAGGTGTGATATGAGTAGAGAGAGATTTCCTGGAGAGTGACCATTAACCAGCTGAACTCTGTTTCTGTACTGACCATGCTCACTCGACATCTCATCCCATGTTGTTCCATTTTTGTTATATTTCCTCCAGGTGAATGTCTCTGGTTTGGTTTGTAGGTCAGTGCAGTGGCAGGGCAGCAATATTGACTGTCCTGTGTGTGCAGCAATCTTCATTACCTGCCTGTTGTCTTTCACTGTGCAGCCTGCAAAAGCATACCAGTTAACGACTTATACTATCAGACCACCTGAATATGTGAGTGCTTTTCAATCCAGCTTGAGAAAGCCAACTTACTCTTCTTCATTTTTTCTTATTATTATTCTGTGCAGAAAAATTGTCAAAACTTCTCCTTCTGTAGTTTTTGACCTAGAACTACCAAACTTAGCAAGATCTTAAAATCTATACCTGAAATGTACGCTTGTGCTTTACAACTGATCTGACGTACACTGTATACAGCATTTGTCCGAATGTGTTCTTTTTTCCATACACAAGAGCTCAAGGGGCTGACACTTTTTCCACACTACATATACACAGTATGAGCCGAATCACTCTAACTTTTATTCCTCCACAGTCAGTAAACATGATGTAGATAAAAGTTTTAGGATACTGTTTTTACATCACGGTAAAACACTACAACCACATGATCATTATTAGTATACACTCTGTAGCTTAAAGTTTTTGGACTATGCTGTCACATGATCATTCACCGCACACATTCTACACACCATACACTCCACATACCACACTACACACAGTCCATGCACACTCATCACACCACATATTATACAGCACACACTCTAAAGAACACACATCACACATTCTACACAGCACACACTCTTCTGGGACATCATAGTAAGTGCTTAACAACATCTTAGCAGGCACATGGGCACAATAGCAACCATCTAGCAACACTTTAGCAACTAACTGGATACCATAACAACTACCTAGCAACACCTTAGCTATGACCTTGAATACCATATCAAGTGCCTACCAACACCTCAGCAACCACCTAGGTACCATAGCAACTGCCTAGCAACAACTTGGCAACCCCTTCAGATACCATAGTAACCACTTAGCAACACTTTAATAACCAGCTGGGATACCAGAGCAACCACCTAGCAATACCATAGCAACCGCCTAACAACATTGTAGCAACCATTTGGGATACCATAGCAACCACCTAGCAACATTGTAGCAACCATCTGGATACCATAGCAACCACCTAGCAACACCGTACAGCCACCTTGATACACTTTTTTATGCTATCCCCTGGTATATGATTTTCAAAAACTGAGGATTTGGCCTTCTATTCTCTACATATACAGTTTTTGGAAATATTGGATATTGTAATATTGGTCATTTAGTCAATATGAGCCACAGTGTTAGTAAGCGCACATGACCTTTATGCATATGAATCATTCTGCTGAACTGGTTCAAAGTCAGAATTTTATATTACTCTTACTAAAATCATTTTCCTATGAATTAATTGTGTTTATTTTAATAAAATAAGTGACTAAACATTTTTCACTGCCAATACAAAAATAACATCTCCGAAATGTTACCAAATAGTTCTGGCAGTGAGAATTTTAGCAAAACTCAAAAATGAACTTTCCTATAAAGTCTTCAAATGTATTATTAGAAGTGTAGTACACAGCTGGCTTGACCCATCTCCTCCATTTAACCCTTTAAAAGGCCATAGCCTGCCAGCGGACCCTAAGATTTATTATACACTTCTATAACCTAAGAATAGCTCAACCAGTTTGTCCCTGTAGTTACTGAAAAACAAGCCTTAGTATGTAATAAGCCTGGGATTTTAAGAAGTTAATCACAACACTAGTGTGTTAAATGCAGTTATTTTTTATGAACAGTATGAAGCACTGTTTTGAGAAAACCATATTGATTAGGCCTGTCAAAAGGTAAGCAGAGGCTGCAAAATATTATGAGTGTTACATTTATGAAAAACTTGTTTAACATGCATTTTTCACTCTTCCTGAGTTCCCGAACCTCCTCACTACATACAGACAGCAGTACTGCAGATACAACCACTCCTTTAACCTACACTCTACACTGATAGCTCTCTACAGGACTTCACTGGGCTTTACCACAGCCTAATCTGCATGCTGCAAACAGGAACTGTTTTCAGATGAGCTCGTCTTCCTTTGTCTCTCTCTCTCTCTCACTCACTCACGCATAATAATCATCCTGTACATTCACATTTACACTATATTGCCAAAAGTATTCGCTCATCTGCCTTCACACACATATGAACTTGAGTGGCATCACATTCTTAAGCCATAGGGTTTAATATGATGTTGGCCCACCCTTTGCAGCTATAACAGCTTCAACTCTTCTGGGAAGGCTTTCCACAAGGTTTAGGAGAGTGTTTATGGGAATTTTTGACCATTCTTCCAGAAGTGCATTTGTGAGGTCAGACACTGATGTTGGACGAGAAGGCCTGGCTCGCAGTCTCCACTCTAATTCATCCCAAAGGTGTTCTATCGGGTTGAGGTCAGGCCAGTCAAGTACACATGGCACAATGCAGTCAGACAAGTACCGTTCTCCTGGCAACCGAGCAGATTTGGAAAAATCGAAGAGCTTTAAATCAAAATGGAATTTTGTAAATTAGGGATACATAACTAGAGGAATATACAAGAATACATGACTGGGGAAAACAACAGTGCATCTCCACTAAAACCTGACCAAATTTTCTCTCCATTTACTTCCAGAGTAATGAATAACTCAAGCAAAACATGCTAGCCAGCAAAACGCTATTGTTAGCTGTCGTTTTTCCCTTGCAGGAGTTAATCCTTAATTTTACCCCATTTAATGTGTTCCCACACACATCTACATGCTTATCTGGAGTTGATTTTGACAAGGCTTGTTGTCCAACAACATTATCCTACTTTGAGCTCTGCATTTATGAGGCTTTGGATTGGTTTATACATTTCACACTCAGTTTGCTCTCAGCTTAATAAGTTTAAGATCTCACCCACAACTCACCCAAAATTTCTTATAGTTGTCCCCAGACGTTGTTATTACAAGATCATGAGACTAAGGCCCAATCCCATTTCACCCCTCGCCCATACCACTTAGCCCTCCATTTTGCACGTTCACGTCTAGGGGTAGGGTGTTATGAATGTTGTTGAGATAGAGGGGTAGGGTGAAGTGTTAGGGCTACATGGGCCTCCAAACGAAGGTTTTTCAGAAGCACATACCAATTGGAGCGTTATGAGAAAACAAACACCTGCAAGATGGCTGCACACGAGACCAAAGAAACCCACAAAGAAAAGTATTTTCTCCATTAAAAAGTATGATAACCAATATATTGTCTTAGTTTAATGTCATTTCAATGTATTATGGTCCTTTTCTTCATAACAAACATAAAAATTCACTATAGTATGCTGATATCTCAACAGCTCAGTAGCTACATTACCCATTCCACCTTAAATAGTCCAGCAGTACTGGTGCCTGAAGTGCCAGAATGTAACTGCTGCTGCATTTAAGGTGGAACAACACGACAACACAACAAGAAGCTTGTGAATAACTGACTTCAGCATCATATCAAAGAATTAGGGGTGGGCAATAATAAATAATTGTCGCATCCCCCCTCTTTGAAGGCATATCAGTCTGTAAATGTAACTAAAGCCCAGCAGTGAGGTCTCTGAACTTCAGCCTCCTCTGCTATCATGGCAGACTGGCAGGGTCACCTACAGAGCACCGCTAGTAGCCTGATAATGAAGTAATGTTATTTTTTATTTGAGGGTCCCATTTCATAGGCAAATATTTCAACCACTAACCCTTGTAACTCAGTTCCAAGGAGCAAGGTGACATTCGAAAACAATGGGTAGGGATAAAGATAAGAAATGGGATTGGCCCTAAGCCTATGATGGTTTCACACTAAAATTTCACTGGCCTCTAGCAGCTGAACTGTCCATTGGAGAAAAAAATCTTTGAACAACTCAGTATCTCATGATGCAACATCTCATTTTGTCTAAATTTGACAAATAGTCTCAGATGAAATGTCAAAAATAGTTTGAGAAATCTAAAATGGCATAAAGTCACATA